GAATACCCAGTGCCTGTTATTGAACATGGTATGAGAAACAGGTTCCACAAGGTTCGTCAGGACTGTATTTTGATACACAACTGCATTCGTTTTTACATTTTATGTTTGTTTTTTGTCAAGTTTATTGAATTCGAAATTCGAATTCAATAAACTTTTTTGTGGCCAGCATTCTAAAAGAAAAGTTTTTATTGTGTGACAATACTTATGACCTGACTAGGTAGAATATAATATAAAAATATAAAAAAAAATAATATAATCAGGCTTGATTGATTTATATGGGACCACATGAGAAGCATCAGCTATCAAATAAAAAAAGAATTATTGAAATCGGTGCACCGAGAAAAAAGTTATGAGGTAACACACAAAAAAAAATAATATAATAGTCGAATTGAGTACCTCCTTCTTTTTGAAGTCGGTTGAAAATTAGCTCAATTGTTTCACTTTTATATTTAGCCAGGTTCTAGTTTATTTGGTGGATAACTTTTGTCTGACGAAACAAGAATCCCTAAGTATAATAGTTATTGTTCGTTAAAAGCCTTAACCTTATCTGTAAAATATAAAGAAAAAAAAACTGCGTAAGTGTCGTGGAACACACGATTAGAACGAAGTAGCTTTTGTAGTATAGGTATTATTATTGATAAACGTATTATATTATTGCTTAACAAATACATCATGCTAGAGCCATGCTGCAGCTATATTACTGGTAGGTATAGTTAGAGCACGAATGGGTCGGCTCGACCGGGGAAGGACTACGCTCTCACAGAATACCAACGTTAAATAGCAGCTGAACGCTGCTGTATTTCGTATGGTGAGGGTAGAGAACTGGATACCCTTTTTACTGAAAACGAGGCATTCCATCTTAGTCCTCATGAGTGACAACGCATCTGCATTTTGATTCGTAATCGAGGATATGAGCCACAGCAACCACTTACCATCAGGTGGACTGTGTGCTCGTTTGTCACCTTTATCATATAAAAAAAAACATATAGATGAATTACTAGCGTTTATTAAAATGAAGCGTCATTTAAAACAAAACACTATAGAGAGGGTCGTGACGAAATAATCTTACACTTTTTGTCGTCTAGCCCCCATCCGCAAAATACGTACCGTCCGATAAGGAACTTCGTTCCAAAAAATAGGTTAATTAGGTTTGAATTTTAATCAAATCATTCACATTTATGTTATTTCTATTTAATAGTAAATTATATCAACGTTAAGTATATTATAAAAGTAATAAAATATAAAGTTTATACTTAAATATCGTTTATAATAATAATATTAATATAATATACCTTATATTATATATATTACATGTTAATATGTAGAGCATTCCAAAAGAAGTTAAATACTCTCTACTGGGACAGATGAACACGTTTTTTATATAATCTGACGGAAATTCGCTTTCAACAATAAAATACATTTAACGTGATTTTTGCATTACCTAAGATTTATTACGACTATAAAAGAAATTTTAAGCCTCAAGATTGTTTTGAACTTTTAGCTTTTTGTGTGATTGCTTACTTTTTGTTAGTCTGTTCACGAATAACAGTTTATAATTCAGCAAACTAAATTAAATTTAGTGTGCTGTAATCAAGAGGAAGAGTAAGCTCTGTAAGCGGTCGCCCAAGAAAACGTTTGAGAAGTAGATAATATTCGAGAAAAATAACGAGCCGCGTATTATATAACTTGCTCTCCGTACACGTTATTAGAGAATAGGATATATGAAAAAGCGTTTAGAATATCTTCAGTGACGATGAAATATGGTCAATAAGTATGATATTATGTATAATGCGATAGGTGATTGAATAGTGCTTTGAAGTTGAGCCAACTTCAACGGACTATCGCTGTATGCGAAGCACACAGAAATAAATAGTCGCTTTGTTTTTTGAAAAATACCATACATATTGCTCGTTTGTTACTAGAGGATCGAAAAAATTACTCCAACTCCATATGGTATTGTGATAATGTGTGCGCCAAAAGTATTACCTATTCGTTTAATGTGCACCACATCTCAGCTATAACGTAATTTTTTTTGAAGAAAAAATATTTAATTCAATATAATAATTATGTTTTATCCTGCCTCACCCTCATCCGACATATCCATATTCCCCTAACCTTACACCATGTAGGTTTTTCTGTTTCTACATAAAAGATAGGCTTGAAAGCAAAGTAATTAATAAGCAACCAGTACGTCTTGTACTGGTTGCTTATAATTATAAGATTTCTGAGAAAACCTCAGGATTAGTCAAAAGTATTTTTCTACCGACTTCAAAAAGGAGCCAGTACTCAATTCGACTGTATGTTTTTTATGTGTGTTACCTCATAACTTTTTACTGGGTGAACCGATTTCGATGATTTTTTTTTATTTGAAAGCTTTTTTGCTTCACATGTGGTCCCATTTAAATTTGATCAAGGTCTGACCAATAGTTTTTGAGTTATTCTTAATTATTTATATTGAAGTAGGTTGTTCAAAAATTGTAATTTTAAATTATCGAGTGGCCTAGACGTATGGAAAAATATAGTAAGTAGATGATATAAATCTGTATCTATACATCTATACAAATAAATAAGATTGAAGTGTCTGTTGTTACTGTCAAAATGACAGCTTTTTACTATGCGCATATCAAGGTATATACGATACTTAACAAAGAAATAATTTTTAAAACGTTTGTCCGTCTGTCTATCTGTTTGTTCCGGCTAATCTGCAATACGGCCGAACCGATTTTGACGGAAATACTTTTTCTCAAATAAAAGTAACTTAAGTTACTCCTTATAACATCAGCATCAGTGAAAGTCAAATCAAAATCGGTCTAGCCATTTCGAAGATTCAGAGGAGAGACAATCGTACAAATATTAAAAAAATATTTTCCTACCGTATATACTTTCAAATGCATTTATTAAAAATCCGTTATTTTGACATTACAAACAGACACTTCAATTTTATTTATTTGAATATGTATAGATGAATAGAAGCCAATCCTGTATAAATCAAATTGCTTGAGAACCATTAACAATAACTGTAAATTTCGTGTCAATAATTTAAATCTCACTTATGATGATCAAAGATCGAATATTATTTCGATCGAATTTAAAATAAAAAAGTGTAGCACAAAGAAAACGAGGTCACACATATAAGCCTCTCTTATCACGCGTTTTCTCTGCGTCCGAAGCTGCTAGCACAGAATAAATAATAGTACAGGAGCTGCTAGTAACATTTTGCAACAGTAACCGATATTTTACACGTGATTATGAAGCCGCTATATTATAGTTATAGCACAAATGATACAGGTCATCGGGAAAGAATCACGTTCTCACAGAATACCAGCGTAAAAAGCACCTTAATCTTGCTGTGTGTGTAAACAAACGTTGACCCTTTTTACTGGAATCGAGGCATTCCTTTTAGTCACAACATGGGTGACAACGCTACTGTTAATAATTCTATGGCTACTGTATTGTGATTCTTAATCGAGGGTAGATGTAAATGTCTACAGGCTAAAGATTCCACTTACCATCAGATGGACTGTGTGCTCGTTTGTCACTCTTATTCCATAAAAAAAATGTAACAGCAATATTCGCTGCTTGGCCGGACCTGCGCGTTCTTTAGGGTAACAAGCTTTTCCAGCATGGAGTGCCACTGCACCTTTTTTAAACTATTAAGAGATATTAATAAATACCGTAAAAACATAACCGAAAGAAACTATATATTATCAATATATACTTTCTTTCGGTTATGTTTTGTACAAGTATTTCGAAAGAAAACCTGAAATCTCAAATGTGCAAAAACATAATTTACAATACACCTTTGAAATTTAATACTTATGTAACTTAAGTATTTATTTTTTGCAATTATCTATAACTTGTGTATAAAATCAAATCTTAATAGTAAATAATTAAAAAAAAAAAGGTTTAATAAGATTCGACAACCAATCTTAGCGAACCCTAGTTAGAATGTGCCTGCGAACGATAGAAGAATGCAAAATCGTTTTAAATGGTTTTTTTTTTATCAATACTTACACTTGGTCACCAGATGGTCAGATCATTTGTTAGACTACGTGCATAGAAATCAATGTAGGGTTTTTATCACTTGCTGGGTCGGTCGTAAATAACGATAAAACAATGATCCTCCCTTCCCCGTTTTCAGATTAAAATAGTAAGACTTTAAACGTATTATTATATTAAAGAACACAAAGTGAGAGTATCCTAATGTAGATCACGAAAATGTATTATAATATTAACACAACATATGCAAAAATGGTATAAAGAGGAAAATTATTTCCTTATTTATTAAACTTATTATAACTATACAGATTCAAATTTTTGAATTTTGTTGAAAATACAAACAGAGTCATGTTATCATTGATTTCGTTTCTACGTAATTCAGAGTAAGCTTAATCATGTCGTAATATTTAGTATGGTTATCGATTCTTGCTTCAAGTAGAGGACAGTCCGATAGATCGGTGCAGGCACACTATGGCTAATGTACGTCCAGAGCTAATCAAAACAACCGTGTGTTGCTTCCGTAAAACATCGAGACGCGTTAGACGTGAAGCTCGGACAGCTAACGCACACCACCCCGCACACGCACACCCTGGCATCAGTACATCTCATTGTTACAGTAAGAATTGAACACATGTTGAGTTTCGACATACCTATAGGTGTGAACGGAGCGGGAGGCGGCAGGGTCGGCCGCCGATCTGTAAACAGTGGTTATCGACGCGCCGCCACTTGCCTCCACGGCATCTCCGGCTACTGCGCTATATTTATCCAATCTGGAACTGACGCGCGCGGCTAAATTCGTTCGGCGCCGTATGATGCCGGCCTCCTGCAACCACAATCACGTCACGAAGTGCCCGGCGCTCACCCCGCGCCTGCAGGGGTTGAACGCACGCAGATCGCACAGCTTAATTCGCGGACGCCTACACTAAATATACCTAACTAAAATTTCGCAATGCACTAGCGCTTAAAAAACATTAAAGAATTTCTTACCTGAGGGCAAAGTCTCAATAGGACTTATGAGCGGGCGCGGGTGCAGCCGCTACACACGCTTGGTGGTGATAGTAGGAAGGCGCTGGCGTGCGATAGTGATGATGCGGCGGCGGTGACCCACGATATGCGTCAGAAGCAGGTGAGCCGCCACGGAAGCCTGCTAACTGACAGCTAGGTGGCTCAAACAGGTCTCGAAAGGCCGGCGGTAGTTGTTCAGCTGGAGGTTCAGGCGCCGCGTACCAGCCTGACGTTGCGGCTCGAAACTCTTCGGCCGCTAGGGAATATGGTTGTGGTGAGCAATAGACCGCAGACGGCGGTAGTCGAGGCTCACTAAATTCATCCAGGGCATCTGTTGGTTTATCGTAACGCGTGCATTCTGCTCCTGGCTCTCTTTTAGGTCGGCACTCAAAGATCCGTGGTTTTACATCTGGCTTCACGTCGCGTTGTTGCCCAAGCGTGTCCGCAGCGCTAAGCGCTTCTTGCGCGGCAAACGCCTCTTGTGCTTGCTGCAACTGCTGTTGCCGCTTCAGCGCCTCCTCTTTTTCCTTTAAAGCATCCTTTTTCTTGAAACGACGTCGCCGCCTCAAATAGGAGCCGTTGTCAAACATGTTATAAGAGTCCGGATCTAAAGTCCAGTAACTGCCTTTTCCCGGTTTTTTATCGTCCCGAGCGACTTTCACGAAGCACTCATTTAGACTTAGATTATGTCTAATAGAATTTTGCCAGCCTTGTTTGTTCTCTCTATAATAAGGAAATCTTTCCATAATAAATTGATAAATACCGTTTAGGGTAATGCGGCGGTCGGGCGCATTCTGAATAGCCATGGCTATAAGGGCGATATAGGAATAAGGCGGCTTGACCATATCTTTAGGTGTGCCGACATGTTGCTGATGCGGATGGAGATATGGCGCTCCGTAGCCGTACCTGTATTGTTCATACGCGTAAGGGGTCACACCAGCTGAGTAGCCGCCGGCGGCTCCTCCGCGATACGCGTACGGGCTTTGTTCACCGAACAGCGCGTGCATCGTGCCGGTACACCTTCACTGGCACGACATCATCCAACCGCGTTCGCGGCACTCCTCACGCGTTACGCTTACGGCAACAAAACGTCGACTGACTGATTTTGTTTAGATTCACAACAAGGCCCGTTTACATAGCGGACGCTAAACGAGAGACGAATGAGCGGATTCGTGGGCGACACCGGCTGATGTTTCGTGACGCTACGCGCTCCGCCCTCTAAAGAGAAATTTGTGTCTCACTCTTACGTCCCACTTAGTACTACGTTTGTCCTTCTCATTGGGGTTTGGCGAAATGAAACTGGGCAGTACACCAAGCTTTATTCGGAGGCGGCGCTCGATCGACACTCACTACGCTTCCCGCTGCTAACCCTCCCCTAGCTCTTTTACAATTTACCCTTTGTGTAGCCCAACCGTCAATTTTCCATGGCAACACTAAAGCGTAGCACTTGATAAAAATTCCCATTTGCGAGGCAACATTGTTAAAGCTCTTGATAATCCTTACAAAGAGGTAGGTTCGCAATAAATCTACTATAAAGCTATATTTAAAAACAAAGCACGGGCTTAGAAAGATACCTTTTTATTTCTATTTTGTTAAAAGTTAGCTCATGAGAACAAAATATACTAAAAATATGTATTTTTTTACTTAAGATTATTATCATATGTGTTAAATTGTATATTAATTTACATAAGGCCATAAAAGAGGTTTAATATAGCAATGTTTTTAAAATAAGCTTAAAGTTTATGTAATAAATATAGATCGATATAGTTTAATTTTTTTTTATGTATCAACAATACATACTTATATAATTAATAATTATGCATGCTCACTGCACAGCTTAGTTGTGTTAAATGTCTTATAAGTGAAAATTTTAAATTTCTTTAGATAACTAAATTTACTAAAATTATTGTACAAAGAAGAAAGTCTTTGATAAATTTCTAAAAGCGCAAGAATATTGTCACTTGGTGAAATTCCATTATGATTTACTAAAGGATGTGTCAAACATTATGAATAGGTGGGATCTAGTTGTTTGACTGATTTTTTATTTATTCATCCATTTAATATCAAAAACTAGCGGTGTCACCTTACGGAGTAGGTACTCAGGGTATATTCATAAATAAAATTAATAAAAAATATCTAAATAGTATTTATTAAACGCTAAATAACAGTCAAGGAGATAGGTACCTAACATGATTCATATCCTGTTATCAAATATAACTATTTATCTACTGCTTTAGTCACACATCTATTTGAATTAACGTTATAGGTACATGTGGGTACTAAGTGTATAAAAAACAGTTTATTAGTTATAATATAATACATTTAGGTACATACTATAATTTTATTGTTTTATCAATTCGTTTTAAAAAAATTGTAGGTCATTGATATAGGTAAGATAATATAAAATATCAACACGTACCAACACACAACTAAGGGATATTTTAATTATTTATGTATTGAAAAGAAACTTAAATAAGTCATTTTAATATCACTTACGTATACCGCTTAAGTATATCATAATGTGCAATATTTTAGACTCTAGATATAGGAAATTAAATAAAACCTTTGTTAAAAAAGCTACTTGAATAAAATTTTCGGTTTTTGGCGTTCAAAGAAACTGGTTGAAAAATAATCTGAAGAAAAACGTTGTAGGTACTAGCTACCCTTAGTTAGTACCTCTTTTTAAACATATTGCGCGCTATGAGGAGTGTAAGCTTTGACATAGTTAAATATCATAGAAAAGGAGAGTATAAAGTTAAATTTGATGTAATATAATAATTGTTAAAATATATTAATTATTTAAATTAAATAAGACTTTCAGGTAATTTGTAATTTAATAAAGTAATTTGAATTTTCACGCTAGTATGAACTGGCAATATCAAACACTTAATCTGTGGTCAAACATTCGAACAGAGTAGATATCGTCACCAAAGAATTTTAAAATGTTGCTGACAAATAATTACTAACAGACTGACAGAATAAGTTGTAAATATTGTGTGATTTCAAATATTCCTTTTTCAGTAATCTGTGGAGTGTATGTCAAAAAGCGTTTATTTTATATTTTGTTTATTTCTATATTTTGTATTGTAAATATCTGTGTTTTACAGTCTGCATAGTAAAAAAAACTTATAAACTTAATGTAATGCGATTGAATTTCGAACACTAGGCGACCTTTAGTAATTATTATGTGAAAAATACCTCGGATGTTAACGCATTTGTGGAGCACAACGATTGTGGAGTTAATTCCCAGGTTATGAAGAGGCAGGAAAAGTTTATTTTTTGTCACCAGATTTCTGAGAAAAAATTCGTAAAGCCTCACCGCGTATCCCATACGTGCTTAATCGTATTTAAATCTGAGGACTGGGTGAGTTAGTCTAGGGTTGCCACATTATTTTACTGCAGCTACGGAATTATCACCTACCTATTTCGACGGAAGGCATACGTATCTAAATATACAATCTTGACCCATTTGCCTGTGTGGTCAGACTATTATATTTTCCAGTAACTCATCACGGTATTTCGCAGCAGTTAAAGTGCCGTAGATATATCCAAATGAGAAATTCCAAAGCGTATTCTCGCTTAGTTTTCCGCCTAGCCGTAATATTAAGTTGTCTTTGCCTTGCGATGGTAACCCGACAATACCCAGTGTGCATCTCAGCCACCTTTTTAGTGTCGCTATAGAGATACCACAATCTTGATATATCTAACACTCTGGCTGATGCCAATGGCATTGACAACATTACACTGGATCGCGCTGAATTCCAGCATCTCTACATCCCATTTTCTTTCTTTCTTTGATTTTTCCTTGCTTTCACAGTGATTTTAATTTAAAATTCTGTAAAATTTGAAAAATTTTGACTTAAAGGGAAAGAAATTTTACATTAATAATTCAATTTCACTGTTTTTACCGCCTCTCTCAGTCTTTTTTTAATTGGATTTTTTATATACTATTTTATGTGGGTATGTTCAATAAACTTAAATAAAATATCGTTATAAGAAATCAAAGAGAAAATTAATATTTATGCTTGCTGAAAACGATCCAGCATAGATTACCCATGCAATCGACATGTACCTACCTACTTAGATCTTCAATACGTTTATGTCTGAAGGGACTAAGATTGTTGGCGCGAACACATATTTTACCGGTCATTGATTATTCTAAGCCAAGTACTACACCCAGCAGTGGGACGTGGATAGGTTGTAACTTCAGAGTCATGCTGCAGCTATATTATGATTGTAGCACGAATGGGTCGGCTCGACCGGGGAAGGACCACACTCTAACTGAATACAAGCGTGAAATAGCAGCTTACTGATGCTGTGTTTCGTATGTTGAGTTTCGAGAATCGGAGACCAGGAGAGAGCGAGGCATTCTATCTTAGTCCTCAGGGGCGACAACACATCTGCATTTTGATTATTCACAAAGATAGATGTAGATGTCTATGGGCCACCGCATCCACAGGTGTACTGTGTGCTTGTTTGTCACCTTTATTCTCTATTTTTGTGCAAATTGGATTGAATATAAAAATACTGCTAATGGTTATATTGAAATTATACCGAAATGGCAACAGTCTATACAAAATAATGATTCTTGTGAGAAATTATAAGCTGGAGCTTGATTATAATAAAGTAGTGATGCAAACCTATGCCAAGAATGCTGGCTGCGTGTCGTCGCTGAATGGCTATATTTTATTTATATTTAAAACTAGCTATTCTCCGCAACTTCGCCCGCGTGTTATTAAATCAAAGTAGCCTAAGAGGGTAGGGTCAAAAGTACTCGGATACCTAGACGTGCATGCATGAAGAAGATAATGAATCTGAAAGAAGCGAAAGAGGTCTGTAAGGATCGTGACACTTGGCGATCTGTTCTCTCTGGCTACCCCGTCAGGGATTGTGCGTGAAGATAAGTAAGTAAGCCTAAGTTACTCCGTATGACATTAGCTATCTGTCAGTGAAAGTCGCGTCAAAATCGGTCCAGCCGTTTCGGAGATTAGCCACAACAAACAGACGGATTTTTTTTTAATAAGTGTATTTTTGTTATAAGTACAGTTTATACTTTCATATGCATTTAGTAAAACCAATAAAACTCTGTAATTTTGACATTACAAACAGACACTTCAATTTTATTTATTTGTATAGATTTATATAGGCTGGATATTTGCCGGAGTAGCCACGCTTGACAAAGGGGTTGGCAACCGCAGATTTTTATTATGTTGAAATGTTATCAGGAAGATGCTTTTACCCATCCCCTGTTTTAGTTTTCTCCTGTTCGCCTTTTACGACACCCACAAGATAAAATGGGGTGTAGTGGATTCTGTTTCGCCATCCACTACAGTACGAATATATTTCTACTTCCTTTCATGAATGTAGTTCTTCACACGTTCACAGTGAACAGAACTACATTAATTAAATTTTGAAGTCTGCTCGAACATAAAAATAATGTAAGCATCGGTTGTATGGTGCCAATCAATATTCAATGGTAAGAATGAGAGCAAGACATGAATCAAATATCGCAAATAATATTATGCCGTAAATTAATATAAGGCCATGAAATTTAGCTATTGTATAATAGTGGTGTATGGTGTCCACTATTAACAGACTCCGAGTGGTCTAGGAGCGGAGAAATAAAACTATCTTTCTGATATGCCTTACTATGTATGGAGTATATAGTGTATATTTTATTCAGCTAACCCTGCCTATATTTATATGCCCGGCTACGTCCTTAGTTTACCAATAGTAAAATATTTTATTTGCTTAGCCAATTACAATACATACATTTTGACCAATAAATATTAATAAAAATATTGCGTAGCTGCGTTGCTGGACGGAGCTATAAAAGTGATGCAGACCGGCGCGCGCGCGTAATCGGCGAACGGTGGCGGCGTGGGACACATCTCCGGAACAGCAAGAAGAAGCGAAGCTGCGGCGTTGAAGAAACGACTCGAAAATGGTCGACGGATACGTGAAGATAGTCGGCGTGTGAAGACGATGCGGTGCTGATGATATTTGTGGCTGCTTCTTGTTTCTATATTAGAACGAATTATCTCGCATCGATATGCAGCCCGCAGTATCTCAGTAGCCGGGGGTAATTAGGAAATAAATGTTTTCTTTAGACCTTCACCTTTTGCGTTATAGTAGCAGCAGGGTAACATTATTTATTATGGTTTAGGATTGATTAGCCTGGCTGCTACATCACTCTCCCCCTAGCGAAAGCGTACCGGAGGCTTGACGACTCGCCCATGTCTCGTAGTTTTTAAAATAGGTTTCATCTGGGTTGATGTAGATGATCGGTTTTCAAGCTGCCTCGCTGGTGGTTGAGATGATGATGATTATGATGATAATGATGGTGAATCCTCTGAAGCATCCTCGTTAATAATATAGGCAGGCTATAGTCGGTCGATCGATATAATTGTAGATTTCCTTCCGGGTATTTGTAATTTAAAAGTCTTGCTATTTCGCTCTAATACTTTATACGGTCCATCGTAGGTTGGTTGAAATTGTTTCTTCACTGCGTCGTTTCTTACAAAAACTTGCTTGCATGTTTTCAAATCTTGATGAATGAATACTGATTTATTATTTCCGTGTGATGATGTGCGTTTCGACGATAAGACTTTGTTGATTGATTCTCGAAGTTGAGTTACAAAATCGTAATTCATTTCTTGATTATTTGACGATGTTGAAGTGAAGAAGTCACACCGTCACACGGTAGTCTTATGCTGCGGCTGTAGGTTAGCTGAGCGGCGCTAAGACTAGTGTCTGCACGCGGTGTTGCTCGTAGTCCAAGTAGCACTGTAGGTAGCTCATCAATCCACTATGTATGTTGAGATAAACGAGTTTTGAGTGCGGTCTTCAATGTACGATGCCATCGTTCGACTATTCCGTTTGATTGAGGATGGTATGCCGTTGTACGTGTTTTCTGTATTCCCATAGTTTGAAGAAGTTTGAGGAATAGGTTGCTTTCGAAGTTTCTTCCTTGATCTGTTATGATGGTTTTAGGTGATCCGAAACGAATAATCCAATTTTCATAAATTATCTTCGCGACGGATTCGGTTCGGTAGGTATTGCTTCTGGCCATCTTGTTGTTCTGTCGATCATTGTTACGAGGTAACGATGTCCTTGCGGTGAAGTAGGTAATGGTCCAATGATGTCATCGTGCAGGTGTTCGAATCTCTCCATAGGTGGAAATGAAGCTAGGCTGCTTGATGCCTTTGTACTTTGCATTTTTGGCATTGAATGCGTTGCTTCGCCCAGTTGCCAACATCCACTTGTATTGAAGGCCAAAAGAATTTTCCAGTGATGAATTTTCTGGTTGCTCTAACACCTGGGTGACTGATGTTGCGCAGTGTATTGAAGACTTCGCGACGACATTCTTCTGGTAGGTATGGTCGCATGGTTGATGTTGAAGCTTCACAGTAGATAGGTAGATGCGTCATTAGCATTGTAACTTGCTTGATGGACAAGTTACTTTGCTTCGATAGATGTTTGATACTGTCGCTATCTCTGTCTTGTGCTTCGGCAATCTTGTGATAGTCGATTAATGTAGGGCACGTTACACTGTCGATTAGTATGCGACTGAGTGTGTCGGCGACTATGTTGTCTTTCCCACTGATGTGACGTATGTCGGTCGTGAATTCACTTATGAAGATGAGTTGTCTTGCTCGTCGTGGTGTTTCCGATAGTGATGGTTTCTTCTGAAGTACATATGTTAATGGCTTGTGGTCGGTAAAAATGATCAGGTTTCGACCCTCGAACGTTTTTCTGAAGTGCTTGATAGCCATGTAGATAGCGAGTAGCTCTCGGTCGAATGTACTGTAGTTACGTTGAGTATCGGAGAACTTCTTCAAAAAATAGCCAAGTGGTTGCCATTTCCCATTGATGTATTGTTGGAGTACAGCTTCTGCTGAGAGATCGGACGCGTCGCTGAAGATAGCAAGGGTTGCTTCGTGTGATGGGTGAGCGAGCAAAGCTGCATTTTGGATCGCAACTTTACAAACTTCAAATGCCTTCGTGGCTTCATCGTTCCATCCGATTAACGTTTTATCTAAGCGTGAAGTGGTGCTTCGATTTCAGCGGCTTTAGATATGTGTTCTCTGTAAAAGTTGATCATCCCAAGAAAACGTCTTAGTTCTTCATTGTTTAGGTTTCGCATAATCGATGATTGCTCTGACTTTTTCAGTAGGCGGTTTGATTCCTTCCTTACTGACGGTGAAACCAAGAAATTGAACTTCTTGTTGTCCAAATATGCATTACGAAGGGTTGATTGTGATTCCATTGTCTTCTAATCGCTGTAGCACGGTGCGTAGATGGGTTTCGTGCGTTTCTTTATCAGGGCTTGCAACAAGGAGATCATCAATGAATGCGAAAACGAAATCCAGTCCATGAAGTACTTCGTGTATGAATCTTTGGAAGGTTTGACCAGCGTTCTTCAGTCCTGGGGTCATTCTTGGAAATTTGAATAATCCCATTTGGGTAATTATTGCTGTCTTCTCTATGTCTTCATCTCGTACTTTTATTTGTTGGTAAGCTCGGTTGATATCGATGTTGGAGAATATAGTCTTATCTGACAGTCGATGAGTTAAATACTTGACTTGCGGTATTGGGTAGCGGTCAGGAGTGGTAATAGAATTTAGTCTTCTGTAATCTCCACAAACTCGTAATTCTCCATTCTTCTTCGGTACAAAGTGAAGTGGTGATGACAAAGGGCTTTTGCTTGGAAGGCATATTCCTTGCTCGATCATGTTTTTGAATTCCTTTCGAACTTGCTCGTATCGGTGTGGTGCGGTGGACGTACACGGCAATGAAGTGGTGGTCCATTGGTTTCGATGAAATGCTCAACGTCGTGCTTCGGTGTTAATTTCATTAAAGTTATTCTTGTGATTCCAGGATATTCTTCAAGGATCTTGTGATACGATTGTTGAACATCTATGCTTCTTATTGTGGGCAGATTGGTTGCTTGGACGAAAGACTGAGATGCAAGATTGGTTTTCCTGTCGATAATTCTTCTATTTTTAATGTCGACGATCAACTGGTGATGTTGAAGAAAATCAGCACCGATGATTGGTTTGCTGACTTTAGCGACGATAAATCTCCACTTGAATGGTCGGCCTAGGTTTAAATCTAGTTCCATTGTTTTTTCTCCATTGGCGTTGGTTGAAGTGCCTTCGATCATCGATATGTGTGAGCTACTGCTGTTTTCGATCATCTTGTTCGTCAGGAGTGCCAGTTCGTCGAGCTTCGTCTGCGCGCTCAATGTTTCACTCACTGCTAGTACCGATCGAACATGTGATGGTAGGTAGTTTACCCACATTAGCCGTAGCGTCGAATCTGGGACTTTATCTCGCGCCAAAGTACGCATTCTGCGTAGGAGTTGTGTGGGCTTCTGGTCTCCAAGTTCTATTTCTGATAGAAGTTTCTGTAGCTGGCGACTGTCGATTCTTCATATGCAGAGATTAGACGATCCTTTAGCGAATTATACTTGTCGCTTGCCGGTGGGTTGTACAACAGGTCCGAAATTTGTTCGACGTATTGTTTCTCAAGTTGGGCGATCACCATCTGTGCTAGTTGCGCTTAACTCTTCTTTAAATCATTCGACGCGGCTTCAAAACTGACGAATCAAAGTCGGCGTTTATCTCTCCAAAACGGTGGTATTTTCACCGATAGAGATATACTGGCGATTTCGTGTTCCTTGGCCGGGTTTGATTTCTTTGCTTCTCGCTCCATAATAACGTCTTGATTACACTGATTTTATATATACTGAAGCCGGAATTAGTCAAATTTAAAGAAGAGATGAGGGATCTAATTACAACCTTAATGGCTCCTCAGACTGCTCGATTAAGAGAAATTAAAGGTGAATTGCAATCGATCAAGGATACAAATGCTAATATTGACTCGTCAATATTATTACTTACCGCTCAGAACAAGGAACTCTGCAAGAAAGTAGAAACCCTGGAAACAAAAGCTAAAGCCGATCGAGAATATGTCAAGATCTTTGAGCAACAGGTGGAAGATCTACAGAGGACATTACGAAAAACAAGTATCGAGATTAAAAACGTACCTAAAGTTAAGGAAGAAAAAAGAGAAGGTCTCATAAAAATGGTTCTCAACTTATCAAATACCATCAACTTGGATATGAAAGCTGATGACATAAAAGACGTTTTTAGGCTGCAAGGTAAAGACAGAAATGTTATAAATACTCAAATCATCGTTGAACTTGAATCCACTCTTCAAAAAATTGATTTATTACAAAAGACAAAATCTTTCAATATTAAAAATAAATACAAACTGAAGGCGAAGCATCTCGGACTCAAAATTAATGAAGACGCCCCTGTTTTTATCTCTGAACAGTTGACTCCTAAAGGGGCTCGTCTATTCTTTCTAGCTCGTGATCTAGTGAGATCCAAGAAATTTAAATATTGCTGGACGTCTTTTGGCAAGGTATTTGTGCGACAAGATGATAACACCCGAATTATTAAAATCATCAGCGAATCTCAGGTACATCAGTTAATGCAAGATGCATGACTATTCTCTATAATTACTTTCAAAATTATATTATCTCTTCTAGTGCTAAAATTCACACATTTAGTATTATTCTCATGTAATTATGATTCTTTTATGATTGTCAAATACATACATAACTATACTAAAGAATTAGAATTAGAATTACCCCCACACTAGGATTTTCTCTTGTATCGTGGAGGCAGTTTACAAACACAAATTGCACAAGGACAAATATCCAGACACGGAACAATTATTTGTAGGCCATACAAATACTTTTTCCGTGCGGGATTCGAACCCGCGGCCGCCAGCGCAGCAACCCATTGCTAAGCCACTGCGCCACGGAGCCGTCTAAACCACAAGTCTACACATTTGCACACCCTTTATTATTTATAGAAACCAAATTACACATTAAACTCATACACAATACAAAATCTTACACACACTCACTTAGGCATCATCTTAAAAACCATTACACATTTAGATTTTTGGGTATTATCTACAAATCTCTTACAGAAACAAATGAATTAAAAATTACGCCAAAATGCCATATAGATAATGTCATCACTACCTTCTGTAGCTACAACGATTCAGTTATTATTGCAAACAATCATGGATAGCTTTATGAAAACAATTGAAGATTTGGACGAAACTGAAATCGCTAAATCTGTAGTATGTAATATAGAGGACTTACCTAAAGTAATGCAGCCTATACCTAATTTCAATTTTACAATACTAACCCAAAATATTAGGAGTATATATCACAACATTAATGATTTACTGATTAATATGTCACAATTGCCATTTAAAACTGATGTCATAATATTGACAGAATGCAGGTTAAATGTTAATAAAGAAATACCAACATTGGATAATTATAAACCATATAAAATTAATCGTCAGCTAAATCAGAATGACGGGGTTGTAGCATATATTAAAAAAGACTTAATAGTGTAAAAATTATCCGAACTAAAGCTAACACATGCATCAGGTTTACAAATCGTTACTTCTGACTTCATTATATTGGGTATCTATAGATCGCCGTCAGTCGCAAACGCTAATTTGTTTATTGATTCCATAAATGCGCATTTGGAAACTATAGCCTTACATAAGAATATTGTTTTAACTGGCGACATTAATCTTAACCTAATTACTAAGCCGACAGAGCTAGCGTATCAACACATTAACAGGCAGAAGTACCTAGACATTTTATCTTCACATGGACTCTTGTCCGGTCATTGCTTACCCACTAGACAGGACAACTGCCTTGATCATGTGTTCCTATAATTAGATAAACATACGAACTCAGCACTTGTAGCAGTACTTAATACATTAATTACTGACCATGCTATGGTTTTACTCAGCATTAATAAATCGTACAAGCTAATTAATAAGTTTCCTAAGACTGAATGTACTATTGATTACAAGTCAGCCCATTTAACACTTGAAAACACAGATATCTCTCATTTTAAGAATTGTTATGACTCAAACATTTTGGCTGACATCTTAATTGATACAATAAAAACAGCAATTGATACAAATACTAAAGTTAAACTGGTTAAAAATAGCAAAAGGATTTTAAAACCGTGGATTAACACAGGTGCTATGCGGTGTATTAGGCTTAGGAATAGCATGCAACTAAAAGCGAAACAGGAACCCGCAAATTAAGTTTTAAAAATAACTTTTAAACGTTTTAGAAACTTTTGCACAAATTTAATTAGGAAATTAAAAAGAGAGTATTATAAAAATGATACGGGATAACCAATATACGGTGTTAATGGGAGACTTCAATGCAAAACTAGGCACAAGAGAGAACGGTGAGCTGAAAGTGGGGAAATTTGGAATAGGGCAACGGAACCCAAGGGGCCAGCAGTTGGCCGACTTCATGGAGAAAGAGGGACTCTTTATGATGAACTCTTTCTTCCAGAAGCGGCCCCACAGGAAGTGGACCTGGTCGAGCCCCGACGGTTCGACAAAAAATGAGATTGACTTCATTATGACGACCAGACGACAACTGTTCAGTGATGTCTCAGTGATCGCGAGGGTGAAAACCGGCAGCGATCACCGAATGGTTAGAGGCACACTGAACCTAAACGTTAAGTTGGAGAGGTCTCGTCTAATGAAGTCAACGCTCCGTCCCCCTCGTGCTCTAATCCAAAGTCCCGAAACCTTTCAGCTCGAGTTGCAAAACCGTTTTCAGTGCCTAGAAGACTGCAATGAAGTGGACGATTTGAATGACAAGCTCGTGGAAACTGTCCATGCGGTCGGAGCTAAGTTCTGCAAGACCCGCCGCAGAAGAACACAAAAACTCTCCGATCACACTCTTAATCTCATGGCTGTTAGACGGGAGATGAAGCTACATTCTTCAACAGATTTGACAGCATACAGGCAACTGAACAGACAGATCTCCAAATGCATGCGGCGGGACTTACGCAACTTTAATACAGCTCGTATTGAAGAAGCGATCGAGCGGAACCAAGGCTCCAAAGTCTTTGCCAGAGATCTGTCTGCCAGAAAGAGCCAACTGTCAAAGCTGAAGACCGAATGTGGCAGCATCGTTTCCGGGGCACCTGAGATTTTGAGTGAGATTGAGAGGTTCTATGGGCAGCTGTACACGTCATCGTTGGAGCCACACGCAAGTGTGAGTAACGATCCAAGAGCGAGTCTTATCCGACATTATTCCGATGATATCCCGGACGTCAGTCTGAGCGAGATTAGAATGGCTCTCCAGCACCTTAAAAACGGCAAGGCCCCAGGCCAGGATGGAATTACAGCGGAGCTTCTGAAAGCGGGTGGAAAACCGGTACTTGAAGTCCTTCAGAAGCTCTTTAATTCCGTCCTCCATGGTGGCATTACACCGGAGGCGTGGAGCAGAAGTGCGGTGGTCTTGTTCTTCAAGAAAGGCGACAACGCTCTCTTGAAGAACTACAGACCGATTTCCCTTCTGAGCCGCGTCTACGTGCTGTTTTCGAGAGTCATTACGAATCGTCTCGCGCGCAGACTTGACGACTTCCAGCCTCCCGAACAAGCCGGTTTCCGAAAAGGCTTTAGCACCATAGACCACATACATACCCTTCGGCAAATTGTACAGAAGTCCGAGGAGTACAATTTGCCACTATGTCTGGCGTATGTGGACTATGAGAAAGCCTTTGATTCCGTCGAAATTTGGGCGGTGCTGCAGTCCCTTCAGCGATGCCAAGTTGACTGTCGGTATATCGAAGTGTTGAAGTGCTTGTACAGTAGG